AAATCTAGATCATTACTTGTTACGGAGTTGTCCAGTTTTGACACTTCGTTGACCTTTCTTTAGATAAATGGTTCCAGTTTGATCATAGTGTGGACATGAAAAACAATTTATGAAGTAATGCATTGCCAAAACAAAGTACAAACGGATTGACTAAATGCAGTGCCCCCCCCCGAAAAAAAATAAATAAAAAGAATACAAAAAAAAAAACCACACACACAAAGAATAAAAAGCATGTAACAAAAGAAAGATCTAGCGGTAATGCAACATACTCCTAACACCAGAAAAAGACTGAACTAAAACAGAAAGGATTCATTATCATATCCAGAAATACAGCTAGCACAATCAAACCATGATTGAATACGCTATCTAAGCATGATCTAGCATCATTGAAGAAACATTGTCTAAGTGCACATTTGGTAAAGTTAAATTGGTACCGTTTGTGTTTTCATTGTGTCATCGAACAAGTTTATTTTGCCTGTGGTCGATGTAATGAATTGAGCCTTTTTCAGCTGTTTTTTGTCGATTGTTCTTATGTGGTTCTGTTACACCAGTGACCACTGACCCAAGTAAAGGGGGGGGGGGATAGATCCAGCAAATACGCTAAACCCCGTTGCTTATATACTATAAGTACCTGTACCTGTCCCAAGTCAGGATCCTGTAGTTTAGTGGTTGTCGCTTGTTGCTGTATTTGATATTAGTTTTACTTTGTTTTGTATATAATTCAGGCGGTTGGTTTTCTCGTGTCATTGGAAGAGATCGGTTGCTACTTGAAAACAGATACAATGAAACCTATCTCATCTGGCATACCTTAGAACCAAAAATAAATATTTCGGATAAGAGATGTTGTCGAAATAAATATGTTGAAAAACAATGAAATCTTTATCTTTAGGACTGACAAAAAGTGTCAGATTACTAGTTTAAAGGATTCTGGAATACTCAGGTCACGAGGTGTCGCATTAGACAGGTTTTACTGTATATCGTTCCATACCGATCAACCTATTGGTGATGGCGGTAATAAATCACTATAACAGTACCACATTAGACCGTCGGACTATCGAACCGTCGGATTACCACTACGGTCCCTTTTTCATTCCTTATTTTTTTGGTCCATTTTTCTGAAGATTTTGCCCGTTACTCTCTTTTCTATAAACCCCACCCGGACCCCCATGTCCCCTTGTGAGTTATCTTGAACGTTGAATAAATAAGGCGTGCATTACACTTTTTGTTGTTGAAGAACGTATGTTAGCTTCTTTCTTGATGTGTTTCATTATTTTAGTGTTTTTGGATTTCTTTCACTTAATTTGACGTATAGACCTAACTGCATTTTTTTAATGCATATTCAATATAGGCCTGTGTATTTCAAGTGTATAATAAAAAAACAGAGTTCCAATGTCCCTTGCATTGCACATATTTTATATTTCCAAGGGGCATAACTCTTTTAAAAAAGTCAATCGTCCACCATTACAGAACTTGTCCGAGATATTGCAGATATTAACCTATAGTATAAGTTTTATAAAAATCTGGCAAGAATTGTACCCGTGAGAGCGCTAACGAGGTTCATTTTCCATAAGTTTAATATTTCCAAAGGGCATAACTCCATTAAAAAAAAGTCGATCGTCCACCATTTCAGAACTTGTCCGAGATATTGCTGATATTAACCTATAGTATAAATTTTATAAAAATCTGGCAAGAATTGTACCCGGGAGAGCGCTACTGTGACAATACCGGACGGACACACGGACGGACGCCCGGTATTTCCATGTCCCCCGCAACGCGTTACGCGGGGGACAATAAAGCAAACATAATAGTTAATCATTTTCGATTTACAGTTTAAAGTTCAACATGACTGTCCAAGTTGAACATCTTCGTCCAATCCTCTTCCTTTATCTTAATGAGTTAAAAATGCCCGACTTAATTATATTGTCTCCGACCTTCTAAAAATTTCCTAGCTACTTTTAACCAAGAAGCCATCTTCTACCTACCTTAAGTCAGATTCTCTTCCGAGTTTAACAAAATGTCTGCACTAATAATTACGTCATCAAATTGATTTTCAGGAAACACATATTCTTTACTTTCATTTTCGCATATCAGCTGTGTGTTTATTTGAAAATTCCCAAAAGGCTATAAATACATTTGCAAAAATCCCATTAAAATAATTTTAACACAAATTAAACCATTTTGCAAGTTCCAACTTATACAGAATATAAATGATTTATGATTTATGTTTAGGTAGACCTACTGGCTAAGATTACCCGCTAAAAAGAAACAAAAAGAAATAATTAAAAATAGAATAGATAGATAGATACTTTATTCTCTAAAACTAAGTACAATAAAATTGAGAATGGAAATGGGGAATATGTCAAAGAGACAGCAACCCGACTAAAGAACAGAAAACAGCCGAAGGCCAACAATGGGTCTTCAACACAGCGAGAAAATCCCGCACCTGGAGGCGGGCTTCAGCTGGCCGGGGCCCCCGGCTAAACAAAAATGTGTACTAGTTCAGTGAAAATGGACGTCGCACTAAACTCAAAAACATATAAATGAACTAAAATTAAAAAACATACAAGACTAACAAAGGCCAGAGGCTCCTGACTTGGGATAGGCGCAACAATGCGGCGGGGTTAAACATGTTTTGTGAGATCTCAACCCTCCCCTTTACCTCTAGCCAATGTAGAATAAACAAACACACAGCAATACGCACAGTAAAACTCAGTATAGGTAACAAAAGAAACTAAAATTTCAATAATCAAAAATACAAGAAAGTTGAAGTTAACAAATGCAGTGTCGGCTTATGTAAAATGAAGTATACAATAATGGTGTATAATTCAGAGGTTCCAAAGGTTTTTTGATACTCAGTGGTCTTTGGTCCAGTAATTGTTCAAGCATTACTGGTCTAATTAGTGATTTAGCAGTCTTTTACATTATGAGTATTGAAAAATTCTTACATCTACACTGGTCATTTGGTCCAGTAATCGATGACATATTACTGGACCAAACCATTTATTACTTGACATTGCCACATGTTTGACGGACCTTGGGAATGACTGGTATATACTTTATACATATATAATAAACTTTTAGACGAAATATAAAGAAATTAAGTATGACAATATACATTTAAAAGGATCGAGGTATTAACCTTTTTATTAGTACACTTAATGAATAAACATGATTTTCTTAAAAAAAAAACTGATTGTTTTTCATTTCTAAATTAACAGTGTTATAGGATTAATCTTAAGTACAAGCAAGGTTTTAAATCATTGGATAAAACAAGCGAAAATAAAAGTTTTCAATGAAAAGACAATAAAATAAGTTAAAATAAGAGCATTATAGGAATAAGTGTTATGAGGTCCGTTTTATAAAAAATAGATATAAAACATACCACAGGAATTAATAAAACAAGTAATATAGTTTCATATTTAGTAGTACTCTCTTCGTCACCATTGCATATATAACAGTCAGACACTTTACACAACTCGCCCTATGACCCTATGACGAACATACATTTTCAGCACGTATAGACTACTATTGTTATTGTAAGAGAGAATGTGGTGAAATATTGGAGAAAATTATTAACAAGCGAAATTTGACACTGAAAAACAAAGTAAAGGAGCCAATGCCCAAATTACCTGTGACTTTAACAAGATTATAAAGTCATTAATTTTCTTTCGGTTGTTTATCTGAAAACTCTTTTTTTGGTGTGGTTTTCGTTTTCCGTTTTTTGACAAGTTTGACAACATATTTGTATATTCCGAAGGCATACTGAATATTTTACAGAGCGAACCAACCTACAAAATGTCACCACATGTAAGAACAACTGCATATGGCCTACAATCTTTAAGGTATGCGGGTGCTAAGCTTTGGAATGAGCTGCCAGATGAGCTACGTAAGCAATCATCTTTAAATCAATTCAAGAACTTGATAAATTCTTGGTCTGCATGGCAGCTCATGCCAATGTTTTACCTGCAAAACCAGTTAATTTCTGTTCATTATTTTTGGTTTAATGCTTTTTTTTTCAGCATGGCAAATTTATTTTGTTATCTTTACTATAGTGCTTCTGCTGCTTTGTTCTAATTTTAGTTGTTTACCATATATATATGTGCTTTTAATTTGCAAACCATTTTATTTTTGCTTTTGTGTTTTTATCTCATAAGTGCATGTTTCAGAGTGTGTTGAACTTGTAAGATGCTTAAAGAACTTTTGTGCTGCATGTTTCCATACTGCATGTACTAATATGAACTCTTGTTTTCTATGTTTAATTTATGTGTGCATGACTTGATATGTATGTTTTGTTTTATTGTTGCTCTGTCGGTTTTAAAAGCTCTTCAGAGCTTATGTTTGTACTTGTATTGCATATACCGACTCTAAATATGATTTTTCTAGTGACAACAGTAGTGACAACTGATAATTTACTTCAGTGCTAAAGTTATTTGTCGAGAGTGCATCAATTAATTAATGAAATGTCATGTTCGAGATGATTTAATTTTCAAGGGGTAATTATATATAAGGAGTCAATTGCTCCCACCTTCAAAAGTGGGATGGGGACAAAACTATATATGCACCCCCTCTTTTGGCAAATGAAATGTTATTGAAATCTGTGAACAGTATATCTAACGTCAATATATATGTTCCTGTAGTATATAACATGAAAATGAACTGAGAGGACACGGACTAACTTCTAAACTGTAATGTAGATTAAAGATGTTTGTTTGTTTGTTTTTGGTGGTTTTTTTTGCTAATCAATATCAGAAGTTCCCAGAAAAAAAATAAGAGAAATTCAGATGTTTCCTCCCGGGGCCTCCCCAATGAAAGAAAATGACCAGTCCCTTAACGGTTTACAATATGTGCAGACTATAAAGCTTTAATTTACTCAGAGATAATATTTTTAAAAAATCCCTCGACAGAGACATATCTCTGCATAAATGTAGTGATTTTAATTGTGGTATCGGCCAACCATAGGCTAGTGTATTTTTCGAGACCATTCCGTTTTGTTTCCAATTTTAGACTAGTTTACAAAACATCCGCCGAGTTACCAAAAGTGAAAGTCGAAAACAGTTTTTGGAAATTCCTATGAAAAGAACTTTAGTAGGTCAACATGAGTAAGACATTCACAAGTAAACCAGCTGTTGTCAGAAATCGAAACCCAAAAAATCGAAATCAAGAAGTAGGCACTGGAACAATACCAAAAACAAATGTAAACAGAGGCAGAGGTGCAATGGCAACCGGAGGAGGAAATTTATCAACAGGAGCAGGCAGGGGATCACTTACAAGAAATTCTGATGCAGAAAATGTGCAACCTCAAGAACAACCACTTGACCAGAGAATGTCAAAGTATGTTGTTGAATGTAAACATATTTAATTATACATGTACTGAGCCTGAGGGTCATTGTAAAAAGAACTTGGTGGCCTTGGGGCCTATAAAAATCACAACATAAAACACGAGCTCTTTAGAGCTCTTTAACTGACTGGTATATATAAATATATAATAACATAACAGGATCAATCTTTAAGTACAACATATACATTTACAGCACATGCAAACAATTCAAGCAGAACATATGAATAAATACAGAGCACATGCAACATATAAAGCATAGCAACATATATATAAAAGGCAGTGTCTGCGCGACCCCTCATGCGGGGAAGAGTAGCCAAATTGGCATTTGTAGGCTATGCATACATGCATCCGGTTTTATAAGTAAATGTCATTGGATCGGGAATAAAACATGAAATGTACATGGAAATTATCTGTAATTTGTGGATTTTGTGAATTCAGTGAAGAGAATGGCAAATGAAATTTTTTAATTTGTATTTCTTAGTTAAAAATACATAATATAATAAACATTGCACACTAAAGGAATAAAACTGTACAGTCCCTGTAAAGAAAACATGATAAAATAAGAAATTAAATGTAAATGCACATTTTAAAAGAATAAAATTATACTGAATTTGAAAAAAAGCTATGTAAAAACTAGTGTGAAAATAATTTTTCTAGTAAAATGCAAAACAGAAACCAAAATTTTAAGATCTCTAAAACGACTAAAAATAAAGCTTGAGTGTATACATAAATTAAAGAAGCAAGTATCAAATTCCATATGCATAAAAATAGATGCATTTGATAATTATACATCCATTCAGAACTCCGGATTCATCTTTTACTACTTCTACTGTTGCACCTGAAATATAATAAAATACTTCAGGTGTTCATATATAAAAGGTTAAAATGAACAATGTTATGTATGATGAATAAATTAATTTGAATTAATTATGTGTTATGTATATGTATAGATAATGTATTTTGTTTATTTTAAGAACTTAAACTGTTTTTATTCTTTTTTTTTTTCTGATTTGTTTGTAATGTTTTTTTATTTGATTATCATTTAAATTTTTCTATCATAGATTCCATTATATAATTACATGTATAGTTAATACTTAAAGGAAAAATATTTAAAAACTAACCAGGGACGTTTCTCATCTCTGTGTGTAATCAATTTATTCACTAATTGCGATAATTTCTGCGTTTATTTCACGTTTTATTCCAGATCTGATGACATTCAATTATAAAACCAGAAGCTGGTACACTTAGCTTACGAATGCCAATTTGGCAACTCATCCCCGTATGCAGGTTGCGCAGACACTGCCTATATAAAACACACATGGGCATTAAAAGCATCAATACAGACAAAGCACATGCAATGTAAAGAGCAGATAAACATATTCACATAAAACACACACAAGCAATAAAACGTAAACATGAAAAAACAATAAAATAGAGCACTAGTAAAAACACAAGCATATGAATGTAAGTAACTAAATAAAATTGAGAATGGAAACGGGGAATGTGTCAAAGAGACAACAACCCGACCAAAGAGCAGAAAACAGCCCAAGGCCACCAATGGGTCTTCAATTCAGCAAGAAAATCCTGTACCCTAAGTGGGGCTTCAACTGGCCCATAAACAATAATGTATACTTAGTAAGTTTAGCGAAAATAGAAGTCACACTAACATGACTAAACTCCAAAACATATAAATTAGCCAAAATAAAAAAAAACATACAAGACTAACAAAGGCTAGAGGTTCCTGACTTGGGACAGGTACAAAAATGAGGTGGGGTTAAACATGTTTTGTGAGGTCTCAAAGCACAGTTTAAGCAGAAGCAAAATAAGACAGCTTATTAGTTATAGCTTAAGAAAGCAAATTATTTTATATCAATATAAAAGATAAAAAGATAAATGGATATAAATAAAGCTCCTGAGCAGGCTTAAAAGATTAGTTCTGAGGCAGCAAGAGATAGCATTACTTACATGAGCTACAGGTACAATTTTCTGAAAAAACCCATGTGGAAATAAATTTTTGAACTGGCCAAAGATTGATAGACTCCTTGTCTCTTTAGGCAAGCTTTAAGGAGTTCCATAGTCTGGCTGCCTCATAACCAAAGCTTTTCTTACCATACCTTTTCGGTCGTGGTATATCAGTTATGCCTTTGAACACTAACATTATTTCTCTTATCTCTCATGGTTGTGGCCTGTTATCTATTTCTTGTATAAAGAGATATTTCTCATATCACACTGCACGAATTGTGATACGAAACACTCACACTTTTTTCCTGAAAATCTTCTGTTTGTCAAATTTTATTACATTCTGAGGCGTATGAAAAGTTTTAAAATGTCTGATGTTAAAGTTTGACGTTGGAACAGGATATATGACATCATACTGGTACGTGCAAAAGACTAGATCAACAATTCGCGGAATTTTTCATTTAACACAATGAGAGTGTTCACCATAATAGAAATAGGTTTAACAACTTGTAAGAATTGGATATCGCTTAATATATATCAAATCTTGTTATTTAATTCAAATAGTAATAATAAAATCATTGAAGGCTCGTTTATTATTATATTGGAATTAAATAACTCAAGTTTGATACATGTATCAAGCAGTGTCCAATTCTCACTCGTTAAGAAACCTATAAATGCATTTTCATTAATGGTTATCAAATTATGTAAAAAGTCTGGACTGGACTTGTTAAAAACTTTATTTTCCTGACAAATATTTTTTTCATATTTTGAACAAGTTCACTTAGTTTACAAATTTAATTGTAAAACAATTTATAAAAAAGTACGTCTAATTAAATAAAAAACTAAATTTGTTTTGCAGAAAAATGACTGTCCTTCATGACCCATCAGCAGACTGTGTCATATTGCTTGAACATGTACTTTTTTGTGTCATTATTGGGGGTTACTGGTCATCAACTTATTACTAGTAAAAAGCTTTATAATATACATTAGAATATAAAAAAAATATTGGGACATCAATACTTGATTCAGAAAGATTACCTACTTTTTGTTTGATTAAGAAAATCCTTGCTAGGGAAACAGGTAGGGATAGCAGTTCGCATAATTAGAAAAAAAAATGCTTTATAACTACATGGTTTACCCCTCTTCTGCCCACTACTGAAAGTACTGCTGGCCAATAAAAGCAAAAATTACATCATGTCTTGTAATTTAATTTTTTTTAAGATCCATATTATTGGCCATCATTAATTATTCATTGCATTTTAACTGAAAATCAAAATGACATTCTTTATATACGCATATATGGTCAATTGTCATGATTGTTGAGAAATAGTTCTAAGGTTTAAAGCACATAAGATATTTGGACTATCAAATACTTTTTGTTTTTGTTTCTAAAAGACAAGGATATGTATTGTCACCATCTATTGCTTTTTTTAAGAAAAGTAACTACATGTATAAATTAACAGTGCCATTTCAAAGAATTTCATGTTAAAATACATGTACATATTATGACATTATATACTTGGTACAATTAAATATTGATACATTTGTACCTTTACCAGTTTTTATTTTGCCAGATGATGATACTGCAATACTTTAATACCAATACAATCATACAACATCTTCTTGTTTTTATATTAGATGATTAATCTATATTGATTTATTTTTCAGTCAGGGTTGTTATACAATGATATCACCAAATGAGAAAAAAAGACAAGAAATTCAGAGACGTAAGTCTATAGATTGTACACTATTACACCTCCAGATCTAATGTCCATGAGTTATACAATTCAAGAGATAGAATTATGTTCATTAAAGTGCAGGAGTCAGTCTGATCAATCAGATTGTGAGATATTTCCCAGCTGGCAACAATTCTCGCATAGCAAATTTGAGATGCACATAAAAGGAACAAGATTCAATTTCAGAAATTTAAAATAAATGAAAATTCATCAGTTGTACTGTTTGCATGTATTAATGAATTGATTGTCAGTAATCTCTGAGTGAAAAATGTATTGTTTACTAAGACACCATTAGTATGTCAATGCAGGCAAGAATACCGGATTTGAGGTTAGTGGGGGAATGACTAAACAATTTTGATGCGTTTTATACGAAAAAATTATTTTTTCTAATTTAAAGGTGCAAGTGGTAGTTGCGATTTGCATTGATCTTCCCCTGCAATGATTTATTAAGTGTCTTCTAAATTGTGTGATGTGAAGAAAAAATCAGTAATCATTATAGATGAAATGATGGCATGACATGTTAACTACAAACGTATTCACATAATCTAACAAAATATTATGATTTTACAGAGGCAGATCAGGAAACAGCAAACTATCAACAATACAAGGAACAGAAGAAAGTTGGGCCTCTGAGTTATGTTGGAACTGCAGGTAATATATAGGATACCAAATAATTCTAAATACATTGTACATCTGGATCAGTATTTTTTTTTAATGCCAAGCAATAATTACTTTTAGATGTTAAATAGAAAGCCTTGTGTTGGAACTGTATTGGGAATAACAATATTAAAGATCCTTTGCAAAAGAGAGGTGAAAGATACCAAAGGGACATTCAAACTCGAAAATAAACTGACATCACCATGATAAAATAAGAAAAGGACCAAAAAAAAAAACCAACAGTATATACAAAACACAACATAGAAAACTAAAGATTGAGCAACACGAACCCCTCCAAAAACCCGGGGTGATAGCAAGAATTGTTAGGCTATAGGTCAAATAATACATTAATTTCTGTCTGCCATACAGAAATGACCCTATAAACCAAGAGAAAATGCCTACAAAAAAGGGAAGTACAAATGTTAAATGTTCAATTGGTTAGTCTATCAGCCCTATTTAGAATTACACCATGTGGCTATGAAATGAATATCAGCCTTGCTTTGTAATAGACCAACATGTCTGTTGAGATTTTTTACGTGCAAGCTCACAAGGTAACATGTTGCAAGAAAGTTGTCACTTTATTCTGACTAAGCTGAAAATTTTTTCCTCTTTCTCCATTTGAATTGATCTGGCTTGGAATCTTTGGAATGTGCCAGTTATCTGGTTTTTCATATTATTTTATATCTATATATTCCATTACAATTGATGTAATTTTTCTTGATATCAGATTTTAGCACCTTGTGTAATTTTTGGGGATGTCAACTCGGTGAAGATTTACTAATCGAGTACTTGTTAGATTTACCGAGCGATACTCGAGTACTCGCTCGGAAAAACATCAACAAAATGGAAACACAAAATTATACCCATTTTACGTATTGTGGGACGTTGTCTTATGGACGTAAAACCCTCAACATTATTACCCAAGACTAGATAATAGTCCAAAGAATTTTATACCTTAAGTAATAGCTCATTAACCACATGTACTAATTATGTAAACTGGCAATGATCTAATCAATTAATTAATAAATATCTATAGAAAAATGATTACTCAAACAATAGTATTTGGGAATCATAAAAAACACATTTAATGTTCAACAAAGGGGTGATGATTAGAACTTACTGATGCCTTTAACCATTTTCTGAGGGTCCACACAGAGTGCAATAAATTTGTTCTTGTTTAGAAATGTTATTTTCTATGACGAGTCGATTTCTCAACTTTGTTATGTAACTAACAGTCCTGTTGATGAAAATATTGCTCTGACGGTACAGAGGGGGTAAAATGATTAAGACACGATTAGCTAAAAGTGCAAGCCTTGGAAAGGAGCTCTTTTTCATAGTCTACCTATGTTCGGAGGAATTTTAAATGACAATTAAACGCAAACATTCGAAAGTTCAAACGTATTTTAAATATGATTAATTTTGATTAATATTTAATTTCCTGGGAGGCGCTCTTAATAAACATATTATTTCTTTAAGAAGGCAACAACATTTTAACAGAAAACTGATTAGTCGAGTATCATTTTGGTATTCGATACTCGGTACTACCGAGCGATACTAGAGTACTCGTTGACATCCCTAGTAATTTTACCCATGTTTCATTTTAGATATTTTTTTTTTTTTTTTGTTCACTTCTGGCGATGGTGGACTGGTGCTAGTATTGTTAGTACAATGTTTAATAAGAAGTACAGTTAATTTTTATATGATCGCAAAAAATTTTTTGGGATCGTATAATGGTATGATGTCGTCGTCGTCTTCGTCGCCGTCCAAAGACACATTGGTTTCCAGACAATAACTTTAGTCTAAGTGAATGGATCTCTATGAAATTTTTTAAGAAGGTTCAATACCACTAAAGGAAGGTTGGGATTGATTTTGGGGATGATGGTTCCAACCGTTTAGGAATTAGGGGCCCAAAACAAGCATTTTTCTAGTTGCAGGATAATAACTTGTGTATGAGTATTTCGATTGCTCTGAAATTGTACGACAATGTTTAATACCACAAGTAGAAGGTTGGGATTTATTTAAGGGGTTATGGGGCCAATAGTTAAGGAATATAGGACCAAAAAGGGGCTAAAAACAATCATTTTTCTAGTTTCCAGACAATAACTTGTGTTTAAGTTTATGGATCTCTCTGAAATTACACTACAAGGTTCCATACTACAAAGGAAAGGCTGGGATCGAGTTTTGGGGTTATTGCTCCAAGGGGGGTTTCAAAAAGTTGGGGGGGGGGATTTTTTTTTCCAATTTTTTTTTAGAGAATTCATATTTTTTTTCAAAATTTTTCAAATTTTGAATTTTTGAAAAGTTTCAAGAAGAAATCTTCAATTGCACAGTATTGCGCAATAGATTTGTAAGATCATTGACCACATTTATTTTGGGTCAGAAATCTATATTATGTCAAAAATTTAATCACAATCCAAATTCAGACAGTATCAAGCAAATTTGTACCAACTTTTCAGGGTTCGACCTCTACGGTCGTATCAGGCTGCGCTCAGCGAAGCATTTTATTTAATTTAAATTCTAATTGAGTGATTTTTTGTGGAATTTGTATCCTTCTGACATGTATAGAAAATAGCTTGATCATATCAGGTTGCACATTTGTTCTGTAACACCTTAATCAATTGATAGAATATTCAGTTATAAAGTGATATAATAAAAAGCTACTGATTGAGGTTGAATTTTGTTTAGGTAGAGCTATTTTTGAGGAAGTTTTAGCCTTATCATATAGAAAATTGTTTAAAAGTATGAATTTTTATGAGAGAGTGAGAGAACCTGGATTTTTAAGGGGATTTGCTAGGTTTACAAGCTTTGAAAATATAAACATCTTTGAATAAAAATTCTGAGTCTATTAATGATAAGATGGAATCTAACCTCTTCAGCAGCAACTATTTCTCAATAAGAAAAGATCCCTTATAATTAAAAGGTTGTCTCACACTCATATGTATAAGTGTTATCTCATCAAATGTTTTTCAAAAGGTGATAGGTTGTTAATTTCTGAACTGCTAAAAAAATGTCCAAATTTAAGTTTTTAAATCATTTCTTCAAAAAATGTGTTTTTGTATGCATGCTACAAAGTTTTCTTTTAATTTATCTCTAAAGTACTTTGTGAAATGTACTTAAAGCTTAAATATGTTTTGTTGAAGTTTTAAAGAGATAAAAGATCAATATTTCAAATGATCAATGATTTTAAATTATATCCCATGGAAACTTATTAACAATGTATTGTAATTTCACATATATTTTACTGAATATAACATGGTTTAATTCAAACTGATGTCTTATTATTGAGAGTTTAGAAGATTTTTTAAAAGAAAAATTGTATGAAAGCTTAGTTCAGACATTTTTACAGCAATTTGAAAATTACTACTTATCACCTTTGGAATTACAATAAAAGAATGTATAGAAATTCTTATATAAAACATTATCATATCAATGAAGTAGAAGTAAAGTCTATTAGGATTGTAAGTATGCTTTATTTTATCACCTTGCACTCTCACGACTTGACTGTGGTTTTCTACAGTAGTTTGTTTAAATTCTGACCAGTTGAACAGTTTTGTATGATAAAACAAATTGCAATTTGGTCAGAATTTTGAATAAACTGCAATAAGTGGAGAGCAATACTTACAGTCAAGTCACAGTAAAAGATTTTCTAATATGTTTTCCTAATACTAGTAGATGGCTGTTGAATTTTTATTTTCAAGAAGCTTTCAGTTACCTGAGAAATGTTTATTAGTTTATGGCAAGTTTCATCAGAATAGAACTAAGATGTTCTGAGTTTTCAAATTTAGCGAGATTATTTTCCATGCTATGAACCTATCAAAACCAAGAGATTTTGAATGGCATTTATAACTTCAGATTTTAAAACTTTTTATTTTGAAGGTGGAGGAAATATAACTCAGCAGCAGGCAAGGAACAAATTGATTCAGGACAACAAAAATCCAAGTATGCGACAACGAGTAAGTGATTAATTTTTGCAATGTGTAATTTTAAAGTTTGTTACCTAGCTTAAATATTATTTATGTATGTTTATACAAAAACCCACCAGAATAAACATGGGATTTATTAACTTACCTTTGAGATTCAGCTTGAATTAAAAAAAAATGTAGAACAAAAAAAAAGTATTGAAAACATACAATAGTCAATATATTTTGGACTATAATCCAAAACTTATTCACTTTACAGAAATTAAGCTAAAACAGTTTCAGAGTTAACATAAAATTGAGTGAAATGATAATGATGTATATGACTTGTTTGATGCTATTTCATGATAATGATGTATATGACTTGTTTGATGCTATTTCTATACATTATTTAAAGTCAGTACATATATATATATTAATGTATATATATATAGTCACTGGTTGTCTCCTGTCAGATTTTTCTTAGATATATATCAAAGTTTTTTTATCAGCAATGTCTCAGACAAATAAATGATTGATAATCAGTGCCAATCATCTAGTTATACAAGATTTATGCCCCTTGGAAATTGTAATTTTATGGAAAATTGCATTCTGAGCAATCTCACTCCTTCATTTTTAAAGGATATTCATGAAAAACTTCACTTGCAGACCGACCTTGAATATATTGTTTATTTTTTTCTCATCTGGTCCAGTTGATCTGGATGAAATATTTGACATTGAATAATAAGCAAAAAATAATTAATAATAAGTCTTTTTTCAGGCAATTATGTAAAGAAAATAGAATGCACTGATGTGAATTGACCCCAAGCAAAGAATTTGAGCAGTACTGAATTTACTCATTGTCTGAAACTATTTAAAGACTGAACAGTACTCAATGATTTATTAACCTGTCTTTTGAGATCTGTTCCAATCGAAATGTCCCTTTTAGTTTAAATCTGTTTACTAATGTGTCTTTTATATGCTTGTATGATATACTACATATGTGTTAATCCAGGAGAGAAGAGAAGGATACCGAGCACAGCAGAAGAAAAGGGAAGAAGAAGAAATAGAACAGAAACGGAACAAACAAAGAGAATTAGTAAGACATTGAATAGGTCAAACAAACAAACTTTATCAGTTTGTGTACACATTTAACAGGTTATTGATTTTTTAAAATGTTTATTATTATAAAAGAAGCAAATCAATTTCATTTTTAGCTCACCGGGCCCGAAGGGCCCCATCACTTTGCGTCCGTTGTCGTCTGTCGTCTTCTGTAGTCGTCGTCTGTCAGCGTAAACTATTTCAAAAATCTTCTCCTCTGAAACTACTGGGCCAAATACCTTCAAACTTTAAATGAATGTTCCTTAGGGTATCTAGTTTATAAATTGTATCCGAAATTTTGATCCATCAACAAACATGGTCGCCATGACTAAAAATAGAACATAGGGGTCAAATGCAGTTTTTGGCTTATATCTCAAAAAGTAAAGCATTTAGAGCAAATCTGACATGGGGTAAAAATGTTTAACAGGTCAAGATCTACCAGCCCTGAAATTTTCAAACAAATCAAACAAACCATTGTTGGGTTGCTTCCACTAAATTGGTAATTTTCTGTCTTACTATTTCAAAAATCTTCTCCTCTGAAACTACTGGGCCAAATACCTTCAAACTTTAAATGAATGTTCCTTTGGATATCTAGTTTATAAATTGTATCCGAAATTTTGATCCATCAACAAATATGGCCGCCATGACTAAAAATAGAACATAGGGGTCAAATGCAGTTTTTTGCTTATATATCAAAAAGTAAAGCATTTAGAGCAAATCTGAGGGGGGGGGGATAAAAATGTTAAACAGGTCAGGATCTACCAGCCCTGAAATTTTCAAACAAATTAAACAAACCATTGTTGGGTTGCTGCCACTAATTTGGTAATTTTCGTCGTCTCTCGTCGTAAACTATTTCAAAAATCTTCTTCTCTGAAACTACTGGGCCAAATACATTCAAACTTTAAATAAATGTTCCTTAGGGTATCTAGGTTAAAATTGTATCTGAAGTTTTGATCCATCAACAAACATGGCCGCCATGGCTAAAAATAAAACATAGGGGTCAAATGCAGTTCTCAAAAACTAAAGCAGTTAGAGCAAACGTGAAAGAGAGTTAGAGTGATGATTAGTTAAATATTTATCTATTATGAAATTTTCATGCCAATTGGAGAATTTGGAGAATTTATTGTTGGGTTACTGTTAGAAGTAGTTATTTATTAGGAAATTTTAGATTTTGATTATTTTCTTGAAAATTATAGTAGATAAGAAGAAAGTGTAAATGAGAAAAATAGTATTGATCTATCTGCATGAACATGCTCAGAAAAATGACCCCCCCTCCCCCCTTTCCAAAAAAAAGGTGCATTTTTAAGCAAACACTGATATACATTATTACTCAAAAATATAAATCATGATTGATGAATGAATTAAGCTTTAACAAATCAGGTGAGCGATTCAGGCTCTTGAGAGCCTCTCGTTTTTTTATTACACCACTCTGCATATGCTGCTCCTTGTGGACCATCAGTCTCCATGGATGCTATAAATATGTAGAGTTTATCACATTATTTGCACAGTATTATTCATAGACCATAAGTGAAAAATATAGGCCCCCTTGTATTCTCCCATTAAGAAAGAAGTAACCTGGAAAGATCACCTACAGTTTGTCTCATTTTATAATGAAAGGAAATGCTGTAGTGCAGTTTCACATGACATTTGTTTTACTAGTTTACCGTTTCTAAATTGTATACTCTAAATGATTTATAGTTAATGAAAGTGAAAACCAAGGACTCAACATTCCTTATTCAAGTTCACAGGATAAGCTAAGAGTGGATTTTAGGATGAGCTGCATCATACAAGTCTTGCTGCCTGCTGTAGTTGCTCTTGATAAAAAATAATATACTTTTTGAATCAATGTTGTTTAAACTGGCCATTTTGATCTTAACATTATATGCAAATTCTTGACCTGAAATTGTTAAGCATTGTTAAGATTTTAAATTATTGTTCAGATATTTTCTTGTTGTAAATTCAGTTCTGTTCAGACATTTGGCTTGCGCAGTCAATCTGTTCAGTAGCTTTTCAGACAATTCTGTAATTTCAGTATGTTGTTATTTTGTACAGGTAAATAACAATACTGAACATAGACTGAACAGATCTTAATTTACTGCAAGTGAAAAGTCTAAACAGTACTTAATTTACCACATTGAATAAATATGAAAATTAACTGAAAGACTGAACATGACTTACTTTATTGTTCAGTCTTTTTAGAGCTGTTCAGATTCAAATGGTTGTTTCAGTTCAAAATTGGGATACTAGTGTAGGATATCCCAAATCTATCTTATGTAAATAAACCTTTCATGATTAGTATATTGAAGAGTTTTGTCCATTGCCATTGATTATAAAGCAATACAAATTCCTAATCAATATTCCTATTAATGTGTTGTCTTTTAAATTATTGATATATAATTTAAAATGATATATTCATTAGTGATTGCTCTGCTTATTGAAAATAATGTTACCTGCAGAGTCATGTGTTTGAGATGAATGTTACCCTTGTATTAACCAATAAAAACAATAAACTCTTATAAAACCAGGTTCAATCCACCATTTTCTATATAAGAAAATGCCTGTGCCAAGTCAGGAATATGACAGTTGTTATCCATTCGTTTGATGTGTTTGTTTTTTTGATTTTGCCATTTGATTGGGGACTTTCCCTTTTAGCTCACCTGGCCCGAAGGGCCAAGTGAGCTTTTCTCATCACTTGGCGTCCGTCGTCGTCGTTAACTTTTTACATTTTGAACTTCTTCTAGAGAACCACTGAATGGAATGAAACCAAACATGGCATGAATGTTTCTTATGAGGTGCTGACCAAGTGTTGTTACTTTGAAGCCGATCCATAATCCAAGATGGCCGCCAGCAGAGGACTTAGTTTAACATAGGACCCTATGAGAAATACATACAAATGTTTTCTTTTAGAGAACCATTGAATGGAATGAAACCAAACATGGCATGCATGTTCCTTTTTAGGTGCTGACCAAGTGTTGTTACTTTGAAGCTGATCCTTCATCCACGATGGCCGCCAGATGGGGACAATGTTTAACAAAGGACACTATGGACAATATATACAAATGTCTTCTTTTAGAGAACCAAATACTGAATGAATTGAAACCAAACATGGCATTAATGTTCCTTATGAGGTGCTGACTAAGTTTTGTTACTTTGAAGCTGATCCTTCATCCATGATCGCCGCCAATGGGGGGACTTCCTTTAACATAAGACCCTATGGGAAATACATACAAATGCTTCTTCTAGAGGTGCACTGAATGGAATGAAACCAAAACATGGCATAAATGTTTCTTATGAGGTGCTGATGAAGTGTTGCTACTTTGTTGCCGATTGAATGGCCACCAGGATTTTTTTATCAAATTACAGGACCAATAATAAACCAAATTTGGCCTCACTCATTATTAGGGTATCTGTTATGATTTTAATCTATTTTTACATGATTTCCAAAACCAAAGTAGAATCAGGTGAGCAACACAGGCTCTTGAGAGCCTCTAGTTGAATTTTCCTCGGAGTTCAGTATTTTTGTGATTTTACTTTTTACAATGTTGACACTTGAATAAGAATTGTGTTAATTATAATTTAACAGTAATCTATTCTAATTAACAATTCATCAAAAATGATTTTTACAAGTTCTAATTAGAATTTTAATGACTCATCTTGGAGTGTAACAGTGTTTGCTGTTTGTATAGTCCTTTTAACACACTTTGTATAGATTATGATTTTCTTTAGGCAGACAAGAATAAATTAAGATCACATCAGACAGATGCAGAGAAGAAAAATAAATGGGATGAAGACAGAAGAAGGTAATTTAATTAGAAATCTCTATATCTAGAGAACCGTTATGATTTCAAAGTTTATACTTGACATGTATATTAACCAAGACCAGAGGGTGTGTCATTATGTATGTACAACTTCCTAGGTCAAAGGTCAAGGTCAAAAACTTTGGTTTTAGTTGACAACCCCATGTCCTATGGTAAAGATCGTGTTCGCTCTATATCTTGAGAACCGTTATGATTTCAAAGTTTATACTTGACATGTATATTAACCAACACCAGAGGGTGTGTCATTATGTATGTACAACTTCCTAGGTCAAAGGTCAAGGTCAAAAACTTTGGTTTTAGTTGACAACCCCATGTCCTATGGTAAAGATTGTGTCCTCTCTATATCTTGAGAACTGTTATGATTTCAAAGTTTATACTTCACATGTATATTAACCAACACCAGAGGGTGTGTCATAATGTATGTACAAATTCCTAGGTCAAAGGTCAAGGTCAAAAACTTTGGTTTTAATTGACAACCCCATGTCCAATGATAAAGAAACAAATTTTTTACCACACATTATTCACAGCGGGGCCCACAGAGATGGCTCCCATCTCAATGATATCTAGTTTTGTCCAGTTTACCTTCACAAGTCATAACATTGATAAAACATCTGATGATAACCTTCAATTACAGTACACAGACCCTGTTAAAGCATTTAATAAAATTTTCTGATGTCTAAAAATGCTTTTTAACCGAGAAATTATGCAAAGATGTAGATTTCATAAAAAAAGCACTAAAATACTTAATTACTTTTACCAGTGGAAATCTGTTATTTTCAACTATAGAAACCACTCTAAACTACTGTCAATGTCATATATATCATATAATTAAAGTGCAATGAAGTGCAAATTTTCCAAACTTGTCCTTTCACATAATTCTATTTGAAAAAAAAATGTTGTTTAAATGTATTTCAGAGAAAAACCTTATTCAGTGAGAAATGCACATGAGGATTTTAAGTAAACATTACGACATCACACGTATTATGATGTCATTAAATAACGACCGATTAAAATAATGCTAAGTACAGTTAGCAGTGTTACATGACGAACAGTTTGCCTCAGGGTTTAACTCGAAATGTTGAGTCGTAAAGATCAGTAACTAAGCATTTTTATGTAATATCAAGACCATAGCAACAGTTTTCATATCAGTATATATTCAACATAATGACTGTAATTTCAATTGCATAAATACCATAAATAAACAATTTAGAGCTTGCCTAATAAAACAGAATACTCACCAGTTATTCAGAACTTTTTAAAACCTCTAATTTGCCGTCTCAGGTTTAATTGGAAAAATATGTCTGAAACTGAAATAAGACAAAAAATTTACTGAGGTTGTGTTATCATTTCATTTAAATACATGAGTATTGTTGAGAGAGAAAAAAATCAAATTCTTGAAAGTTTTATCACAAAAAAAGAGAGATGCTTCTCCCTTTTGGCTTATCAACCTTGATTCAAACCTTTTTTATGAGGAGCAATCATTAGTAGCTTAATAGCTGAATAGGTGAAGCACTTTTTTTTTAAAAGGTCTGACACTCCCCCTTTTTCACTGAGAAAAGACAATATCTTGTGATTTACTACTGTGCATTTAAATATAGCAATTCATGCTTTTCTTAAGACATGTTTGCCTGTTTATTTGCATATTTTATTGACCAGCTAAAAATTAACGGTCAAATTATTTGTGTAAAACACATGTACCCATACAAAATAAGTAGTAGGATTCCACCTAGAAACTAGTAGGAATGTAGTAGGAATCTACCTAGAATCAAAGATTCTATATAGAAAGTAGGCAGACAAGGAAAATGAACAAAATTATGACTGGATTTTTTATTTTCTCACTTGCAAAATCCTACTATCTAGCTGGAATTTAAAAAAGTCTGTATGGATTTTTTTCTGTTTTGAAAATCTTAAGTGGGAATTTGGACAGAAAATATGATTAGATTATTCTTTTTCCTACTACAAGATTCCTACCAGAATTAATTTATTCCTACTAGAAAATCTTTCTTCATGGAATCTTTTTAATTATCTTAAACTGGATTCCTGTTTGATAATGACACAAATTTTGCTGTGTTAAATGCAACCAAGTTCAAGTTCACAAATTCAAAAGTTGGAGGGTAAAAGAATGAAAAGTTGTGTGTTGGAACACAATGCTGCAAGGGTCAAACAACTACAATATTGAAATATGAGAAAATATGGCTCAAGTAGAGTGAAGTTAATTTTTACACTTTTAAGATGAAATTTTTGATCTGTTTGCCAATATATTTAGTAATCATTTAATTCAACAATAGTGCATAATCTTACTCATTATTTGTTCATAACTCTTTTAATTTCATCTAATCAACATTTTTGCCCATCTACATATATAACACAATTTCTAGCTTGGATAAATCACAGCTTCCCCATTCATTTCAAAAGTCAACTTTTTCTAAATGAATATATTCCATGCATTTTCTTTGTTCTTTGTTGTTGAGATTCAAAACTAAACAATTGACTCAGTTGTGTATTTGAATATACACTTACATTTTGTATATTTTTAGATTCCTACTAGAAAATATTTTTTTCTATATGGAATTTTGAAAAGTTCCTGCCAGGTTTTCTAGTAGGAATTTTATTTTCCCGCCAAATTATTCCTGCTAATTTGCATATTCCTGGTAGGAATATATAAAATTCCTACTAAAAAATTCCTACTATGATAATTTAAATTTTTCGGCTATTTTCTGTATGGATTCCTACTACTGTCTGACTGGAATATAACTCTTTTCTGGTAGGAATTCAATTCAATATTCCTACTATATTCCGTGTACTTGCTGTGTGGAATATTTCATACAGGATTAATGATGTATCAAATTATACTTGTATGAAGTGAATTATTTCCCTTGAACGCATGTGTATAGTGACTGGAATGATATACAATGTCTTTAGTGTGTCATGTTTACTTACAATTTAATTATATTAAATGTTTCCATAAGAATTTAGTGCTTTTTCAAGACAATGAAGTGCCTTTCAGCGTCTCATGTAAACAAAGTTTTGATCGTGCCTAAAAGAAGTGTTCCAGCCCCATGCCAGTAAAAAATACATTTCAAAAGCGAAAAACTGTTGCTGATCTTTATAGATAATGTTAATCTAGAACCAGCTGTGATAACTAGGTATTTATAAAAGACAACTAACCTTCATTTTCTCAATTTCCTCTGGTGTACAAGATTCAATCATGCATAAATCAGTCTGACAACTTCTAAAATTCATCTTATAAATTGGGTCAAGAGGCATAATTGATTTCCCATAGGCGGTAATGGTAACTTTTTCTTCTGTAGCTCAGTCCATATCATAAACTTTGATATGTATGATGGCTTGTTTCGAAGCTGAGACATTTTCACAAATGTGGTTAAATTTTCGGGGTACAAAGGGAGATTCATTTTTCCATAAATTAGCATACCCCGAAAATCCTTTCGTGATGCGGCTCCTTGTGGTAAAAAATCCCTTTTTTTACACAATAAGTTCTTTGAAAATTTAATACTTTGAATACATTTAATAGCTCCATAGTTTTTACACATTTAATCTATCCTCTACTTTCCAAATCAACACAAATGGTTAAGCTCAGTCACTTGTTAAAAATAGAAACATGTCCAATATCACTACACAGAGATTTTTTGTTTACACACAACTTTTGTGTTCCTCAATTAGAGGTGCATTAGGGATATTGACCCAACTGATTGATGTAGGTGTTGATTAAACCCTACTTTAAGAACACTTGACTAAAATCATGGTGGCCAGTTTTTTTATACGAAGGAAGTCGGAATACCCAAAGTGAACTATCTACCTTTGACAGAAAAACTTTCAAGTGAAACCTAATCAATTACTGGTATAAATGCTTGCATCAAGTTGACCATGCTGAGACAAATGTATGGAATTATAGAAAATTTAATTTGAATCAACAGTATTTGTAGATTTTTATGTTTAGTATAGTCAGTTTTGGTTGAGACATGAGTATTATTAAAGAATATTATTTTTGGAAGAAAAAAATACATCTAAATCAATAATGGGACAGAGCAGGCTGGGTTGGTGTGGGCTGCTTTCATGGTAATTCAAGTAACCTTTTATGCATCTTCTTCAACCTAAGAGCTATCAGCTCTTTGATTTTCGCAAGCCAGTTACATGTTTAAGGGTCAGCTATCAATCAAAGGTTCAAAACACACATACATTTATTCTGGCTATAGATAGAAATGAAGAGTAAGTAGAAATAAGATTGATAATCTTTTACAACAAAAAATGCTATTATTTTGATACCAAAAAATGTTTTAGGGTCAGCTTCAAACATAAAGTCAGACAGGAGGCAGGAAACAAACTTTTTATATGATCTTATATAATGGTAGTGGTGAACAAATTTGCTTATTTTCAAAGAATAATCACTTGTTAAATCTATACATTTTTATATTTAACTTGATTGTTTTCTATAGTTTATTCCTGTGTTGTTACAAGTAAGGTTAATAGCACTGAAATGCGTACATCGTTTCAAATAAGATATGGACAGTTTTGATTTTAGCAAAATTTATTTCACTGACAAAGTAAGTGTAAATTTAATAGAAACTAACCCATTATATAGTATATTATCCATGTAGTTTTCTTTTTTTTAATTTCCAGAAAAACTGATGATTTTTTAAGTCGATTGGAAAGGAAGCCAAATGACAGACAACATGGTAAGATTGTTTGATGAAAAATGCAGCAGAGCTGAACAGTTACCATATTCACTAGTATATACATCCACATTAAGCAAATATGATGTTCACTGCTTGGTTTGGGTCCAGTTGACTTGACTTCAGTTTAGCATCATTCTTTTTTACGTTTGACTTGCAATTATATATATTGAAAAAAGTAAAATAACAAAAATACCGAGGAAAATTCAAAACAGAAAGTCCCTAATCAAATGGCAAAAGCAAAAGCTCAAACACATCAAACAAATGGACAACAACTGCTATATTCCTGACTTGGAACATGCATTTTCATATGTAGAAAGTGGTGGATTAAACCTGGTTTCACAGGTAGCTTAACCTCTCACTTATATGACATTCGCACAAAATTCCATTATATTGACAACAATGTGTGAACAAAACAAACAGACATAATAGGTAAAAATGTCAAAAATAGGGGTACAGCAGTTGACATTGTGTTATAATCTTAATCACTATAAAAACAAACAAATATGTCAACAAAGACAAACAAAAAGGCATATAGACAAAGCACATAAGCAAAAACAAAAGACAAAAATTTACCATAACACAATAACACAATGAGGAAATGTTTAAGTTCCGAGTCACATCAAATGGATATTACCAAAATTAGACTAAAGAGTAAAAGTAATAATTTACAAAGACAAATCAAAGAACACTATAACACGTAATTTAGATGATAAACAAGGTCAGTACCTAGAATCTATACTTCAAGACCATAAAGTATTATTGTGAAGTTGATACGGTATATTTATATGAAGTTTTAACACAATAATTGTTTAGAAATATGACCCTAGAGTGTAAATGTTCACTATAAAAAAGTTAAGACCATAAATCAGTAAAAAGCAGAAAAATAAAAAAAGTATATTTTGTTCTTATAAATGTCTTTTGATTACGAAGAAGTTTTGTTCAAGTTTCATAAAATTCCATGAAGTTTTGACAAAAAATATCTTAACCACAGCCTGACCCTTAATGGTGATGACACAGAGGGAATGAAGTTGTTATGTCTTGCTTCCACAACTTTGTTTTATATTCTAATCCATTTGTCAGATTCTTAAGACCAACATTCACTGTACACTATAGCTAGGCGTGAGGATGCATGAAAAAATATGTGCTTCCAACCAAAAGATGATCATCCTTACCCACACTTCAATCTTAATTGAACCTAGTGGTGTTTACAGTTTATATTCTAAAAAAATGATATATACTAGATTGCAAAAAAGATTTTCATATAACTTGATATATAGATTCGCTAAGAAAAGTCTTGTTCTCTGACCTTGATTTATGTGGTAAAGATTTTAATGATTTTATTAAATTTTTTTTTGCATCATTGTCAGGAGAAAACATGCAAAGATTCTTCTATCAAATATTTGTGAAAATCTGAAACTTTAATTTTAAAGAAGTCCAGAGAAAGTTTGAAGGATAATGAATACAATAATCCTACCAATTTTTTGAGTAGTACAGGAACATAGCATGCTTTTTGCTTTATCTAAATTTGCATTGTTTGATTTATTTGTCATACAAGTGAGATGTTTAGCTAGCTATAAAACCAGGTTTAATCCACCATTTTCTACATAAGGATATGCCTGAACCAAGTCAGGAATATGATAGTTTGATGTGTTTGAGCTTTTAACTTGCCATTTGAATTTGGACTTTCTGTTTTGAATTTTCCTTGGAGTTAGGTATTTTTGTTATTTTAATTTTTGTTAGATATTCAAAAGAACCCAAATTGAAGTATAATTTTCTATTTGAATACATTTGGATATCCAAGTATGGGAAGAAATGGTTTACTTTTTACAAATTGTGATTTGGATGGAGAGTTGTCTCATTGGCACTCATACCCCATCCTCTTATATCTATAAAAGATAAAATGAATCAGCATTACCTTATACCATAGAAAAACCTTAGAGACTGTCATAACCAACAAGTAGTAAGTTTATGTTTGTCATGGGTTTATGTGGACAATAATAAATATTGACTGGTTGGTGTATTTGCTTTCATTGACACTAACTTACTAATGTCCAATAGGAAATGTATGCTTCTTAAAAAAACACAATGCAGACAATGTGAAAATAAGAAGATGTGATATGATTGGCAATAAGACAACTTTCTACCAGAGACCAAATGACAAATGAAATTGACAACTATAGGTCACCCTACAGCCTTCACCAATGAGCGAAACCAATACTGCAAAGTCAGCTATAAAAGTCCCCAAAATGACAAATGTAAAACCATTCAAATGTGAAAACGGCCTATGTCCATTTTGTGTGCATATAATATGGCTTTAATGGTATTTTATGCTGTAGTGATTATAACAGTATAAAATGCATAGGTTTGTTGTATGGTTTGTATGTCCTAAAACTGGGACCAGTGTTCTTCTTTTTTGTAGTTGTTGTTGATGCTTAGTAGCTTGTGAGACAGGTAATAAAAAATATATATATGAAATGTTGATTCCTAGATGTATAAGTATGAATAAGTTTGATATAATTTTATAGGACCATGGTTGCATTATGATATTCAAGTTGTCAGGGAAATTGTAAAACTTTTGGATTGTTTTTTATAAAATATGCATGAAAAGTCAAAATATTGGTTTGTGAGTTTTTCTCTAACAGGTCCATCAGGTAGAGTAGGATTCATGCCTTATTGTCAGTGATTTTCAGATCTAGGAATCAGTGGCTCTTTTCACAAAAAAATTTAAGAGTAAAAATACTTGTAAGTCATGCACATTTCAGTATAACTTATGATCAGTTTTAATCGTAAGATTTTTTGTGAAAAGAGTAACAGGTTTATGCTTTTGAATTAAGTCTGTTTTACAGAAATTACTCAGCAGGTTAACAACAACAAATATTGTCATATATAGTTTCTGTGATTTGCAAAATATATATTTGAATAAATTAACCTTCATAATAAAACACGTATTCACAAAGTGCTGTAATCAGGTGCAAACATTTAGTGAAGCAGGTATGATATCTGTGTAGAAAAATATTTCCATTTAAAGAAAATTTTAATATGTTTACAAGTGATATTTTTTATTGCTATTTTCCTGATTATACACAAAAACAATCTTCCGCTTTTGTCTTTCACACTTTTTAATGTGAGATTATAAAGCAATGATGCATATGATTTTCATCAAATTTTCTAGTACACATGATCCCACTGACCAATCAATACTAGTACATTGTACTATAATAGAAAGAACATGAAATGTAAAAATAATATATAATATAATTTTGAAAGAAACTACTGTGGCTTCTACAACAGATGGCCTTAGTCTATAAAGGTTTACATTCAAAATAATGTGCCATCATGAAGCTACCAACTTAAAATGCATCCCAGTGTTATTTTTTTTAAATTGATATTCAAAGCATATAGTGCAAAAAGTTTACAAATGTGTATAGAATGATTTTAAAGACTGTATGTTTTTGTATAGAAACTTGTAAGTATGTGGCATTCTGATAAAATTCATCTGAACTTTGCCTCATTTGGAAAGTTCATTTCTTAGGTCTTTCCACTTTCCCTGGAAAGACCTATTGCTTTTGTTCTGATTAATTTTTTTTTCTTGCGCAGTATTACTGTTTCACAAGATGTCGCTTTAATATTTGGTATATGATATCGAACAGTTGTTACGCTTTTGAAACTTACCCTGTTTACCAGAACACTTTTTCTTGTAGGAGTTATCTCCCCAAACACAGTTTTTCTTGTGACCCCTACTCCTCTGCAACCGTAAAAGAAGCAGACAAATTTATTTTAACAAATTGCTCGCTATATCTTAAGGATGTGGAGTTTGTTTTTGACCCAAGCATTCTGGAGACTCCATATGAGAGTTATTTCCTCTTATGCATTTGATTTAAGTGATATGCATTGCTAACTGGTAAACCATAAGTGATAGAGACCTAGAATCTTTGATTTGAGGTCCTTGGTCCACAAAAAAGAAAATAAGGTCAAGGTCTAAGGTCAAGGTCATTTTTTAAATTTAGATTTTGGCTTATTTTCACTTCTTTTCAAAAACTGTATAAGATATCGACAAAATATTTTTTACTAAATTGTTAGTTGCGACATGTAGTAACACATACATATTGGTTGAAAGGGTACATGACATTAAATCACAGTTTTTTCCCCTATTATATTTAAAATTACGCGTCTGGTGATATAACTCATTAACCAAATAGAATATTGATCTAGTGTCTTTTGATTTGAGGTCCTTGGTTTATGACCTTGAAATTGAGGTCAAGGTTATAGGTAAATTTGATGTTCTAAACTTTGACCTTTGCTTTTACTTTATATGTATACATAATAAAGCTATGGGACTTTCTGTAATAGGTTGCAAGCCATTTGACCTTGAAAAAGCCAACCGGAAGTGACCTTGTGTAAATCTGGAAGTAGCTTTTTTTTGTACTTATTTAATGTAAAAGTATATAGAACGATATATTTTTGGAATCAGTGTCAAGTAAACTAAAATGATAGCAGAAATTCATTTTTCAAACCGGAAGTAACAAATTATCTCCCTTATTTCAAACAAAATTGTATAGAAGCCATATATTTTTGGAATCAGTATACAATAATCTAACATTTGACATGTTAAACTGGATTTTATTATTTTCATATCAAATATAATATTATATCGTTTCGGGCGGAAATGTGAAGCAAAATATTGTCCTATGAAATATCGTCCCCCAAGACAATATTTCATGATTTTGTTTCATGAAAATTTGTCCCTATCTATGAAATAATGTCCAGAGAAGGACAGATTTCCATATGAAATTTTGTCTATATACAGACAATATTTTATAGATGAATAGGATGAAATTTTGTCTTGTTAAAGGGAGGTTAAACAAGGTTATATATTGTGTACATTGAGACAATATTTCATAGATGGGTTGTCATGTCATTTTGTATGATGAAAGGGAGGTTATACATATTTAATATTTAAGATAATAATATCATTAAACATATGGTGTTTAATTTGATTG